ACTGAGTTCCCATTCCAAGACTAGCAGCCCTTTGTTTCGAAGATCTCAGACGACGTCGTTTATCGATCGATCGATCAATCGAACGCTCTCCCTCGGGCTGTTCGGTTTCAGTCTTATTATTTCACTCTTACGGACATCGTATGAATGTCTCCGAACAATGAAACTTCACGATTCCCAAACAAGAGGATATTTGCGCCAGATGGACAGAAGACAAGTAAGCGATCGAACGTGTTCCGGCTCACTCAGACAGTATCAGGTATACTGCTCCTGAATATAATAGAGATAGGAGTGGAGGGGGGAGGGGACGGCGGTGGAAGCGGACCAAGAGCGGCTTCATTATTGGAGACACAACGACCTCTCGACATACGTACGTTGAGATAGCCATTTGCAGCGCAAGGTGTCATGGCGTAACGTGTCATCAGCTTACGTGATTTTCGCGTCGAGTCTGCCAGCGAGCGTTAATTTCAAGATGAGCGTTCGTTCGTTAATTCATTTTAGTTAAAAATTTTCACTGCGTTATTTGTTCAAGATAAGAAAGACCGTAGGAGCACCGAACGGTAGTTCCCGTGAGACAATAGAAGGATCGTTGTCTAGCCGACAAGAGCTAAGAACAGCAGCAGCGGTAGCGGACTCGCCAGCTTCGCTGCGCGGCGACGACTAAGCTTCCATCGTCTAATTGTGCACAGGAAGGTGAACCGTGGCTTCCCGGCTCACGATGCCCGGGTCGTGTCATCCAGAATGTCTCTTACGAGGAGCGTCTTCACACGAGTTTCCACCTCTCAAAATAACTGACGAAGTCGACGAGCATTGCGTCCGTCGTCGTGAGTCTATATTCAGCTGCTTGTAGAGTCATCGTCGCGGTCGATGTCGACTCCACGGTCGACGTCGCCGTTTTCGAAGCGCATCCGGTGGCGTTATTTTTGCTTAGTAATCCTAAGAGTATCAACGCGACTTCGGCCGAGGTACGAGACGTCAACGACTAGTCTATGGTTTCCGAATCAAGGAAATCGCTCCGATTTTTCGCGTTTAGTCTCCGCCAGACTCGATTGTATCGATTACTCCGCGGTTTGTCTCAAATCTATGTTTAAATACTCAGCGAAAGCTCTTGGATTTTCAAATCATGCGGTCGACTCTACAAACTCTTTATCCTTTCAAACGCATCCGGTCTTCAGTTGTGTATAATCGGTGCCCTTCAGGGAAACCGCCATCGTAGACAAGCGGCAAAGTCTGGCCGAAGTTGACTTTTGGATAATTTGAGCTCTAATTTCGTTGACCAAAACGAGTTTAGGGTTCCCCGTCTATTACGCTAAGCTGGACCACGCTCTTCGCGGAAAGAATAACATTTGACGTGGATTTTCCTCCGAGTCCTGCAACCGCTTGAACGGGATGCCTCAAGTTTGTTCGTCGAAGCCAAACACTTACGGATAGACCAGACTCATTCGGATGCAGACCGATCCAAACATAGATTCTTCTCTTCCATTCAAACATTCCCCTCCGACTGAGTGAGCGAAGACCGGAGTCGCTGCTGAAGATGCAGATCGACTGGCTTTCATTCATTGCTTGCGATGATGATGATGACGATGCGAAGGTGGTGATTCAAATAAAGGTTCCGCTCGCACCGCGCTGTCAGTACGGGGATTTCCGTCCGTCGCACCGCGTATCGGCCGATGGGTTCTCTTCTATCTCCGATACTCGACTGGCTTTCGCTCGCTCGTTTGGTCAAATCGTGATTTTCTGTACGGCGATGATGCTCGCATTTTTGTGTTTCACGCACATCCCAGATGTTTTCCAGCTGATCCAGACATGTCGGCGTCCCACGGTCTCTATTCGATTCACTTTCTATGTGTACTTTCGTTGAGAACGTCGTGATCGAAGTCCCATCCGTCCCACGGAGTCGACCCAGAAGCCGAACGTTCAAACTATTTCCGAAACTTCCTCTGTGTCACAAGCAATTCAAGCGACAGGGCCTCGAGATGATCCCGGAACCCCTTTTGGTTTCACCGGATTTGATCGGAGTTCTGCGGTACGTTCCACCCTGCGCTCGCTAGTACGAGTCCCTCAAGCGAAAAAGAAAGAAACTGAGAGAAAAAGGAGCTGGCTCATTTTCCTTCGCAACGGAACGTGTCATCGATCAGCAGTCACGCTTTACGAGCTCAATATTCCAAACCTTGGTCCACGGATAGAATTTCTGCTCGAGTGGAAGAGAAGCTTACTGAGGTTTTGCCGGCGACCGCAGGATTTCAATCCTCGGATGGATAAGAGCGTCGGGGTGCCGAAAAAAAGTTGTTTCCTCGATCCATCGTCACGGTAGACATTCATGCCGGCGGACGGCGCGGCGGCACAAACGCTCTGTGTGCCGACTATCGGCTACCGGGACTGTGCTGATGCTGGGTTCTCATTAATTCATGTTCATTATTTCGTCGACGCAGTTTGACGCTATTCCCTCATTCAGCGCAAAATGCTCCGCCGCCACCACTGCCGGCGCCATAGTTCAACGGTTACGATCGGACACGCGTACCAAATGCATAAATCGTGCTCAGAAACAGAAGAAGATGAATAATAAGTTGTGGAGCCTCGTCAGCTCGCTATGATGATGATGCTGATGACGCTTTCGGAAATGTTCGTGTTTCGGCAAGCTGCAAAGAGCCTTTGGAGCAGTTGAACTTTGTTCACACTGAAGGTAAAAAACGCTTTGACATCTGCTTCGGCAGTGCTGTATTGACTCAACTTGAGCGCGGTTGTTCGATCAGCGTTCTTACGGGCAACCTTCGCTCCGATACTCATCGTTGCAATCATCAATACAGTTATCGCCGTCGATGCGGATTTCTCGTCGACTCTCCGTACATAAAAAAAACTACCTACCTCTATCGCGAATCACGGGGACCCTTATGGATCGCCGTAAGTATTGGATGACCCAACAAAAGCTACGGCGTCTGTGCGGCAACAATGAGTGAATCGCTGTGTTTTATCGATTCCGGCCAAGAGGTTCAAAAGGGGAGTGGGACCCGAGCATGACCATCGAGCGCGGAAATTCGCTGTCCCCACTGTGAAAAACATTCCCGAAAGCAGAGTAGTATATTCTTGGTCGCATTCTCAGATCAGCACGGTCCTGACAATTTCAAAGTCGGCGAGATCATGCAGTCGGTGAGATCTTCACGTGTGCCCTACTCCGTCATTGTGACTTTCGTCATGCGAAGCACATGAACTTCAATGTTAGGCTTTTGTGATGCGGGAGTCATGCATCGGGAGGAGAAGAGGAATACGAGGAAGAAGCCGAGCCGACGACAACTGGAAAACCCGACCAGATTGACGAACGGATGAATGACCAACGGCGCAACCACAGAGGGACTATCTGTGAGCGTGTTAGGGCCTTCCGACGCCCCGATCCCAGGACAGCGTCGATGAAGACCAAAAAAAAGAAGAAAAGAAAGATCGTCACGATGAAGAGGTCTGCTTTGCTTCTGGACAACAATGACTCGCTTCATCAAGTCACTTGAGATCAAGCCCAGAAGTGACTCTTCACTCGACATTCAGACACTCCCAGACGACTTCAGCCCTTGAACACTTCGCTCTTCGCTTCGTAGGAGGTGTCACTCAGCAGTTGTCCGAAAATACCTCGTCGCGTATCTTTCTTCGGCTGCGGGAAGTCAGCTCCGCGTGGAACTCTTCCGTGGGAAACCTGGATCAAAAGGCTCTTGATCCGAGTCTTTTATCGCGACTTGGGCTTTATCCGTCGCGCCGCGCTAGGTATCCCTTGAGCATAGCCTTGATCTCTATTCGAGACTCGGGATTTGCATTCGATGAGATGAGATTGTCTTGGGATAAAAATGCTCAAGTCAGAGAGCTGCTCTTCGAATCTCGATCAACAAGGCTCCGATTAGTGTCACGAGAAACTTCTATGGAGCGCCTTCGGGCAACTCCGGTGCCGTCCGCGATCCAGCTCCAGGACGGCTTGCCCTGTTGATGAGTGGCTCGCAAATGTTGAAGAAGCCGCACACGGACCGTGTCGTGTTTGTCGTTGGGGGCAAAAACAGCGGACGGAATTTCATGGATGATGACACCAAATCATCCTTATCATGATCTGATCTCTCAAGGCACGGTCGTGCGCTAGCCGATGCTTGAGTTACCTTAATGGATCTTCACTTCATCTCCTTAACCAACCGAGTCAACTTGAAAATGGCGTGTTACGCGAAAGATCTGCATAACCGCGCCACTAACGAGGAGCAAGACTCGCTCTTGTTTCGGAAGATATATCTCCTACCGGGAAGATATGTTTCGTGTCCAGGTCCCGATCGCCACCAAAAAAGATGTTTCAGGACGCATTTCGGATTTCCATTGAACTCTATTTGCATATCCAGGCTGCGAGTCGGCGAATACCGCATACACGCCACGGTCTGAGTCGTCACGATTCGATGCTCGCCGGAAAACTCAAGCGAATCGAAATCGAGCAGGAGAGATGACGCCCATGCCTTCGATTTTCTCTGCCGCTCGAAACCCAGAAAAGAAGCTCGGGTCTGGGCAGAGGGCGGAATGTTCCTCCCTCCACAATTCCATCATTCTGGCTCATAGCAGGATCCCGCACGGCTAATCGAACAGTTGTCGAGGGGCCGTTTGCGGGACTTGATTCCGGAAATATTTCACGGGGAGAAGAACTACCGAATTTTGATTGCGGCAACGCTCCTCGAAGTGTTCCACGGACAGGCGAGGTTTCGGTTCCTCTTGGACCGGGCCGCTAATCGTCTCTACACGATACTTCCGACTCGGAACTCCCTCTCCGGACTTGGGAGTGGGTTGGGGAGCTCGACTTCCATAGAGACGTTCCACCCGAGTTGAAGTAATTGTTCTACCCTTGCGGCCGCCGCGGAGCCACTCAGGGAACCTCAACCTACGACGCGAGTGTATAATAATTCTTCCACTTGTCCCCCCCTTCCCTCGTCTGTTTTTTCTCCACGGTATTCGTCCATCTGAGTTTTTCATGGACTGAAAGGATCATCACTCACCTCCATGTCGCCAGAGGAGTGTATCCAAAATGCAGAGAGTAGTTATCCTCAATTTCAGTTGCACAGCAGAACGAAGGCAGCAACGGGAATAACCACCACCGGCACAAGCTGCAAGCGCTACCAGCCAACTGGCAAACTGAGCACCACGCGCGCAGCCCTTGCCATTGGGAGAAAGAGCGATCCGGTAGGAGGGGATCATCGTTACATAACGAGCGGCTCCATGCTACTTCAACGGCGGCTTCATGCTCAGCTATCAATACTTCATCTAAGTTCGTCTGGTGTCTCAAGATGAGGTGGATGGGCGAGAATGGCTGCATACGGCAGTACGCAAGGGCACGTGAAAAGACGTGGATTCGATCTAAAGCTCCGATGATGGTCGTTTCACCGAACTTCTCGACGACTCGCTGCAGCTGGTGATTTCCCTCCGGCCTCCAACCCCCTACCTCAATGATGAATCCTGAATTCGTCGGATTTATAGAATGATTTGTTTTATTTATGAAGATGTACAAGGTCATGCTACGCAGCGATAGCGTGAGACTGTCCAGCTAAGGGTGAACTCGAGCCGTAACACAAGTACTGATGGGGAATTTGTTTTTACATGGGATAGTTAAGAATTACATCTTGACGTGCCAGCTCGAGAAGCATAGGATCGTCGAAGAACTTGTTGATGGAAACATCTTCGGATAGACCTTTTCTCCGCCGAGTTTTAATCATGAACTCTCTCGCCAAGCTGCCTCCCTGCTGGATTTCGAGAGGTCGGATCACCACACTTTTATCGAGGGGATCGCCGGGAACAATCTGCCAATGATGGAACATCGACAAACAGAAAGCCTGGCCTTGAGTATGCGTCCGCAGATCCGTTTCGAAGCCGAAACTGTCGATCGCGGGAAGAAAGGCCTTGATGGAGTACAACGGGGATCCCGGCAAGGGTGCGTCCTGCGTCACATGACCACGACGTCTCGTGATGACGGTGTAAGCCGCCGAGACGCAATCGGCGGCGGCCTGGATCTCCACGTAATTGTAAGGCTCCATGAGTCGGGGCGTTGCAAGCAGGAAGGCGGAATAGGCCACTCTTCTGGCCGTTGGAATGACTTGACCTCCGCCTCGATGGATGCTCTCCGACGCCACGACAGCGTCTAGGAGCTTGAACTTGCAGTTCCGGATGGGTTCTTCACACAACGGACCTTCTCTCACAGCCCATTGGAAACCTTGAACTATGCTGTCTTTCACAGACGACAAACGCGTTTTGTCCACTTCTGAAGGCAGCGTGTCGTCGACGAGGATGTTCGGACCTTGGGAATCCGGCCCGAACGCCCAGATGGATCGCGCCGCCAGCAGATCCCAATCGTACTTGTGTTGGAAGAACTCTCCCAAACGACGACGATCCCAGTCCATTTCAACAACTTGATTTTCGATATCTTCTGCGATTCCTTTCTCGAGCGGTTCGGCTATCATCGTCAATTTGTTCTTTTTGTTCGGAGTTTCAGCGAAACATTTCAAAGACGACGTTTCAACGACCGTCTCACAGAACGCCACCACCGGATCGGCGACTTTGATGTCGATTTCTGAATACATTCTCCGCAGATCATGCATCACGCAGTCGAGGTACAGTTCACCCGTGCCGAAGATGACGTGTTCTCCGCTTTCTTCGACTTTCGTGGTGACTAACGGGTAGCTCTTGTTGATTTTTCTGAGACCGTCCAACATTTTCGGAAGTTCCGACGGGTTGACGGGTTCGACAGCGATTTTACAGACGCTTTTCGTGATGAATCTCAGCGGTCGGAATATATGTAGCGGGTATTTGAATTTCGGGTCGACGATGGTCGCCGTTTTCACGATTGAAGCTTCAATTCCCTCGATGAGAACCCAGTTGCCGGCCGCCACCCTATTCACTTCGATCTGGTAACGGCTCTCGTAGATCCACAGCCGTCCAACTGTCATGATTCTGGAGTCTTCTTCATCGAGCTGTGAATAGTTCTCGCCGAGGATTTTCACCTGCTGACCAGAATATATGCTGCCTGAGAAAATTCGGCCGAAAACGTTGAAGCTTATCGCGTCGTTAGACGGATACTGTTTGGTCGTATGCAGGAGCAGAGGACCATCGGGGTCGCAGTTCAGGATGCTGGCACCGAGCCTCGAGTCTTCTGTTTTCGTCACGACGGGTCCGCTGAAGATCTGCTGAGCTCTCAGTTCTGAAACTTGGTTTGGTGGGGGTACGTGCTCGACGATCATGTCAACGAATCCCGCGAAATTATCTCTCATGAACCTCGAGCAGACCAAGCGCAAGAGAGGTTTGATATTCATTTTCATTTCGGTTTTAGAAATTCGAATTCCCAGCTCGTCCAGAAGACCAGGGAGGTTCACGTCGACGTCTCCGACGACCTGCGCGAAAAGTTTGTAGAGAGGTTCGAGAACGAACTCCACAAATGACCTCTGCGCCGATCCGTGCAGAGGTTTGCGACTGAATTTGCGTGTTTTGCTGCTGAAGTACATGTCTCCCCAGAGCCGTCTCGCGAGTTCTTTATAATCCATTCCGCCGTATGTCTCCTCGTACATTTTTGCGAAAGATTTCAGCGTGAAACAGAGATCGTATTGTGAAGACGCGAAGCACACGTTACCGAGCAGAGGGTTCAGGAGCATGGCTTCCGGTTCCTCGGAGTACAACATGATCAGAGAGTTCACCTCGTCGAGGATGTTTCTCAATTTGTAATACGCGTCCGTCGGCGGTAGTTTCAATTCGAGCACGAGTCGATCGATTTTGTTGATACACAGCAGCACTTTGACCCGTTCTTGGATACAGTGCTTGAGGATCTGTTCAGTTTGGAGACATACTCCTTGCGCAGCGTCGACGAACAAGACGGCTCCATCGCACAGTCTCAGCGCAGCTGTGGCTTCGTCCGAGAAATTTACGTGACCGGGAGTGTCGAAGATGTTCATAAGGAACGATTTTGTTTTCAAATCCTGCAACACCAGCGAGACGGGGGAGCTCTTGATGCTCACACCGCGCTCTTGTTCGGTGTAGAGCGCGTCGGTGAAGCGCAAGCTCTTGCCCTCCCTGGCCCGGAAGTCCGGATGAGTTCGCTCGATGAGGCAATCAACGAACGTAGTTCTGCCGTGGTGGAGATGACCAACAAGAGCGATGTTCCTGACCAATTCGGGAGAGTCCATCAAGTCGGCGAGGAACTCGAGGTCGTACGTCGTTTCAGGAAGGTCTTTCTCGGTATGTGCGAACTTTCTCTGTTTGACAGGTTGAATGATGGGCTCAGTCAAGGGCTGAGCGTCTTCTTCTTGAACGATGGTCTCGACGTCCTCGCCGTACACTTCGAGCGCACTGGGATAATACTTTTTGTCTTCATGGAGTACAACTTGCATTGACTCCTCTGGCTCGTCGTCGACATCTCCTTTGCCGACTTCATCGTTGTCACCGTCGTCCTGATCCTCATCATCCTGTTCTTCTTCTTCCTCCTCAGAAGAATCCAAATCGGGTCCGATGTAGTTTCCGAACTCGTCGTAAAGATCGCCGTCCATTCCTGAAAGGGAGAGAGCTTCAGTTCCGAGCTGATCGGATCGCGCTCGTAGTTCGTGTCATAGTAGCACGAAGCGGAATCTATTAGCATGATTTTCTTATATATCGATGTTCTCGCATCTCGACATTCCGGTTGCGTGACCAGCTGGACACCGTCCCGCCTGATAATCTCGAAAAACGTAATGACGCTCTATCCTTTGGAGAGTTCCTGACAGACATCCCGCGGGATCCTCGACAGCATCCTTTCTCCAAGCCGCGCTCGAGCAGAATTTGATCAACTCACTTCTTATTCAGGGTCGCTGAATTTTGAAGCACAGTTTCTTTCTTGAGGAATATATTCACGTTTTGATCGAAAACTGGCGGCGAAAAACAACAGGCGAGCAAGCACGCATTCGAGACACCCGGACCGGTTTGTTTACCATCAAGACGTCGTCTGCTCCGGAATGATGCACAATTTTCAAAAAAATTTGCTGCTCCTCTCAAACGGGACACTTATCTACCCAAGCGATAGATTGACCTGTGCTGTCTCTGGCGCGCAGAAGAATTCGGAACTCCCGGAATAAGTTTTCCCCTGGGAGCAGTGAGAATCCGAAGTCTTTCTTCCGAGTGCAAGCTTCGAATTCGCGGGCCCGGCTTTTCGAAGCAGAACAGCCGTCGGCAGTAGCATAGCAACACAACGAAGCTGCTCAAATTCAAACGGTCGCAGGGCTAGTGCTGGCGCCAACTCAGTGGAAATGAGCGGGCCATTGCATTCCCGGGAAAATATCCTGGGCCAAATGACTCCGCTGTGGGTGGACGATATTCGCGATGAATTCCGTAAACTGGAGAAAGGCATCGATGCCGGGGAGGAAAAGACCGTTGACGCTTACTTCAGGTATGCTTCGAAATGCTCTTCTTATCATGGAAGCTGACGGCTTCTGATTGCGCCGTCGCGCGTCGTCAGAAGTCGCGACCATGCATCAAGTTGTCCCGGGTGGCGTAATTAAGGCCAGGGTTTATGGCTACATATGTGCATTCGGTATTCGTCGGTGACGATTGATCTAGTCTTGATCGAATCTGCGACGGAGTTTTGGGTATCCAAGACCCCGGGTCCTCCCACGGGGTCTGCACATTACGGCGCGGCAGAGAATCAGATGAGAACTGTGAGGTTTTTCGCTTTCAGATTTTTGTGCTTCGTAAACAAGAATCAGAGACACTTGTCCGAGTTTTTAACTCCCGCCGTTCTGAGGCCGCATTGTCTCCGACTGTACCGAGAGTTCACAATGAACCCTGACGGGCTACGAAACGACGCGAAGTTCATACAGTGCTTGTTATGGATGGCTAACTGGAACCCTAGGATGTATCGAGATATTATCGAGAGAAATATAGGCGACCGCCTCGCGGTGACCTACGTAATGTACTCCCGTGGGCTCGCGCGTCGGGGGCGAACTGAGGAGGCAGTAGCGCTCCTCAAGAGGGGTATCGAAGTCAACGCCCTGCCGCTAAATTATCTCGAGGTAAGACCGTGAGGGGGATCGTCCCGATGCGAGAAGCAGCCGACTCCGGAGACTCGAACCGATATGGAAACTGCGATTGCGAAGCTCACCGTGGCACGACTATTTTCAGGAAACATTAAAGGAAGTTCAAGGACCCCATGCCGCGAATGCGAAGGAAATGAGTTGTGCTAATCAGACGGCTGTCGAGAACCCTATACTGGATCCCCACCAAAGGTACGAGAGCCCCCGAAAGCTCTGCTCCGGTGTTCACGTGGTGACTCAATCTCGACTCGAGTACTGTAGAAAAATTACGCTTGAAAAATTATTTCGGTATTTCTCTTCCGATAGATTCGCCGGTGAACAGCGGGACTTCGCGCCCGACCAATGCAGGACCTACGACTTCAAAGCTGTGTATCCAGAGTATAACGCTCAAGAGTTCCAGTTCGAGGAGAGACGTGTTCAAAAATGGCGTCTAAGACGGAAAGAGATCGAGGAGAAGAATCTCTCGAAGGCGAAAGACGAAGAGATCCAGAAACTCCGGGACACTATCGAGCAACTCCAGAACGAGAAGGCTCTGCTGCTCGCCGAACTCGCCGAGCCAGGCAGGCAGCCGTTCGAGCTCGACGCGTCGAAAAAATCCGAACTTTTCGATGAAATGACCGACACCGTTCCTCTGGTCAGCACCCAGAAACCTCCTCGGCTATCTGACGTCAGCGTAATGAACAGTCAACCAACAGCCGATGCTACGAATGCGGTCGGTGGAAACAAAACTGAAATGATGACTCGGGACATGAGAGAATTGTTCTGGAACGGGACTCTCGATTCGACGAATCTCCCGGCTAGCACCGAAACTACGATGGCCAAAGATGACGCCTCGGAAACTCTGCAAGCGACAGCGCCTCCCACACGTCCGAAGTTGGAGATTTTCCAGGAGAACCCCGCACCTCAGAGAATCACGGTATTCGACGAGAACGACCACAAGAGAAAGGCTCTCAACACACCGACGCCGGCAAAGCGTTTCGCTATATGCGCAGGTGAGTGAAAAGGGACGCACCCGCGTGAGCTCGCCCGGGCTCCGAGGTCATGGAGGTACTCGGCGTTTTGTCTAAATTAAAAAATTATCCCCTCCAGATGAGAATCGTCCGAGTCAGTCAAGTCGCCGTACCTCGGGGAGTCCGATGCCGAAAATGAAGTCGTCCGACGATCTCCCGTCTCCACCCTTCGGCAAAGACGACGACGACAAAGAAAACGTCGCTCCGAACGGCTATCAACAGCCGGCTTACCACTCACGCAGGACCAGCGGAGTTCTAGTCGATGCCGAAGGTTTTGAAACCGCTCCGATTCCCGCCGAACCGGAATTCGAGGACGATGACGATCTCGGGGTAACTCCGCTCGATGAATTCGAAAACTCCGCTGGAAGGGCCGTATCCACTCCATCGAAGAACGCTCCACCGGAACTCAGCTGGCGCGTGACAGAAATGCTTTCGGGCCACGGCCCTCTGCTAGTAGGACATGGCAGAGATTCGCCGAACATGGACTCGCCCGATCGGAGATTGAGCACAATCTTGGAAGCCAGCAAAGAATCCGGATCGTCTGGGAGCTCGAACTCTCTGGGCACACCGTCAGTGGCTCGAAGTAGTTTGGCCAGTTCTGTCACAGACGATACCCTGCCAACACTGAACCCGATCGTGTCCGATCCTTTTAGTCCAGCCCTTCGGAACAAAATAATCCTTGGAAGCAAAATGCCTTACGAGACCGTTTCGGGGAAACTACCCGCAATGAAGAAGAAGTGCGCCATTCACTTCTCGAACGGTTACCGTGCGACGATCCAGAAGATGATCGGTGAAGGTGGATTTGCCAAAGTATATTTCGCGCAAAAGGATTCCGAAGACGACGACGGCGGCGATATCGACGCGGAGGGAGAAATGACGACCTGTATTGTTCGAAACGACCACGCGGCCATCAAAATCACTAACGAGATCTCCGCTGGCCTGTGGGAGTACTACATTCTCCAAACGATCTTCCGCCGGCTCTCCCGCCAGCAATCAATCCTGCCATGCATTCGGAAAAGCATTCCCGAGCCGCATTGCGCTGCGTACTACGACAACGGTTTCTTAATCAGCTTGCCTTACCTCCCCTACGGCTCCCTGGTGGATTTGGTGAATCGATTCCAGAGAGAGGTTCCGGAACTACTGGCCCGATACCTAGTGATCGAGTTGATGGTGATCGTCATGCGTCTGCACGAAAACGGAATCATACACGGGGACCTGAAGCCGGACAACGTTCTCTTCCGCAAAGTCCCATCGATCCAGATGATCGGAGAACTTCGATCGAAAACTCAATGTTTGTGTCTCATTGATTTCGGTCGGGCGATCGATCTGGAGGCTTATTCGTCGACGAGCACCACGTTTTCGCACGTTGTAAACGAGGACATTCAGAAGTGCGTGGCAATGCGAGAGCAGAGAAACTGGCTCTTCGATTTCGACTGGTTCGGTGTCGCGAACTGTGCTCACACCTTGCTGTTTGGGGAATATATCGAAGTTGAGAAGACCCCAAGCGGTGACTATACGCTCAAGAAAAGGCTCCCGAGGTATTGGAATCCCGAATGGTGGACCATGTTCTTCCACGGCTTGTTGAACATGACTGCGACGACGTCACGACCGGATCACGTCGATTATCCCATCAAGAACATCATCGAGCTCGGAGGAGCGTCGTTGAACAACCGAGAATCCATGAAGACTCTTTCTCTGAAGCTAATACAGCTCAACAGCATGATGCAGAAGCGGTGAGCGTCCCTCCGTGCGGGGCTGCTACTTGATTTATCATGATACTAATCTTTTAAAGTTTTATTCCGGGATAAGAATGACAACAGCGCATAGCGAAAGTTTAGTTGTATGAAAAACCTGCCAGGTGTGCGGGTTTGATGTAAATAAAGTTGTTGTCGGAACTTCGGGAGGAGATCACGGACATATATTGTAAATACGACGCACAGGAAAAATAAAACCTTTCAAGCTCTTTGTTCGCGGACTTTCTTGCCGTTCTTCAGAAAAGCCCCGAGCGTGCCATCGGCGACGCGAATTCGCCACTCATGCGCGTGTCGAGCCTCGGAGGGAGCGGCACGCAAGCAGTAGTGCTCCATCTGCCGCCCAGTTAGACCAGGGGTCGGCAGCCTCATCCTGCCGCGTTCTTCGGGCCGTCGTCTCGCCTCCTCGGACTCGGCTTTGACGATCATGAGTAGCGACTAGGAATTTGATTTTTCGCGGCAACCGCGAAATCCGCTGAAATCGCGATTTCCGCGAGATTCGTCCTTTCCACGCTGGATGATAAATCGAAACCTCGAACGATTCAGGAAATACTCCTGCCAGATCGCGAGGTTGGGCTCGGAGAATCGAAGAGGTTCCGAACCTCATTAGGGCTCGGTTAGACCCGGCTATAGCTTGAGCTTGGCCCCGAGCTCGGAGATACGGCCGGATAAAAATTCGCCACGAGGGTCAGGCTTGCAAAGCTCTTTCGGTTTTGGGGAAATCCGCTCCACTCTCGCCGCAATCTCGGAAAAAAATTGCGATTTCCGAGTTTTCGTTCCCCGAGACTCCGCGATGTCAGCGATATTTTGCCGCGAAAAATTAATATACACCTGTTGATGATCACCAGCCGGCTCAATAGAATGCAGCTGCGTAGGGGGAGCTGTTTTTCGGAGGTACACGATGGAGGGTGAACTCAATCGGGACGACATCGGGTGACACCCGGAGGCGAGCGGCAGAGAGAGAGAGTGTTTTCGCCGAGACGTGATCGAATATTGTTGTCAGAGGGAAGATTCGCGATTTCGAAGTGTGAGGTGCCGGCCAAGTCTTTCCCCCTCTTTTTCCGTCTGGTATCTTTGGAACAACATAAGGATCTTAATACTGCCGCACGGTCTGCAGAGCGGCATCAAACGGTGTCTGGTGAGTGCGCGGCCAGCAGATTTTTTTGAACTGCACTCCGCTCCGTCCCTTTTACGAAATACCAATCGTAAGTTTGATCTTGAGGTTCTTGTCCCGGCTCTCTGTTCCCTGGGGAGATTCATTCGGGAATCGAGCGTTTTCCCCTCATTCAATCCTTTTTTGGGACCGGAAAATTGCGAGATTGCGTCGATCCGGCGAGCTTGTTGGTTCGCGATGGGTGCTCCGTAGATTTCTGTGATATCTTCTCGAGGAGTTCCGAGCGTCCAGAAGGGCTCTCGACGAAGCACCTTGGACATGCAAGGAGTCGTCCGAGATCGGGAGAGAATTGCTTCGTCACGATATCATCTGCATGTTGTCACGCACCTCCTCCCGACTTTGCGATATCCGATGCTCATGATTGCCCCCAGGTACCTACTTGAGATTTTGACCAGCTCAGGGAATACCTGAGAACGCACAATTTTTTTGCAACGCGGATCGACTTCGTAAGAAAATGCTTGGCACGGAGAGGTCGCAAAACGCCGTGAGTGAGACTCCGAACCAGATTATCAGGATGCTCCAGCCGCACGGATAGATTATGAAGCTCTCCCTCCTTTTAGGGTTTCACGTATCATCCTAATCGAGTGTACATCAAGGAGCTCCCACCCAACCTAGATAGCGATGAGCTGATTCGAAGTTTCTCAAGCTTCGGTTTTCGGATACGGACCGCGAGGGTTGTTGAAACCCAGGGAAGCACGAACTACGGTTTCCTCACTTTCGAAAGCAGGGAGGAAGCCGACCAGATCCTCCAGGCGGTAAGAAATGGTGTGGCAACGCAGAAATTCATTCAGGAGGCTTCAACCCGTGCGAGACATCTCCTTCCTGTTCCAGGCAAGATCCGAGCAGGGTATCCTTATCCGCGGGAAAAAAGCAACCGTGGATCGGGCTTATAGCCGGAAGTATACTCAACGGAGGGATTCGCGCCAGTTATCTCTAGGTCTCCAACGATTAGTCAATTCCACGGCGTCCAGTAATGATAGCCACGTGAATCCGCAATCAAATTTCATGCAACAGAACTACAATAACCCTCATGAGTTGGGCGGGCCGTCCGAGCAACACAGCGACAGCTTCACGGCCCAAGTATCTTACCATATGCAGGCAGCGCAGCCATATAGCGATTTATACTTCGATGGACAGCCCGTTTATCTGCAACAAGAAGCGCCAGGTTTTGCTCAGAACATTTCGGGGCGTCCCCCCTCGGCCCACGGTAGGTCGGAAGATCGAAACCTCAACTGATCGGGGGCCTGTTCCCCTCTCTCGAAATACGATTTCCTCCAGCAGGTCGATTGCAAGCTTCTCATAGGATCTTGTCCCCTTTAACAGATGAGTTTCGCGGGCCCCATCAGTGGTCAGTGCACGGTGCACAGAATCATGCCTATGAGAGCGTCGAAAACACCTATCCCCGTCATGGTGAGTGCAACTCGTCGGGATCTCAAAAAGAAATACAGGAAATCAAGACCTAGCATTAAAGTTTTTCCTTGAAGTTCTGATTTCCTTGCACGACCCGATAGCTCAGATGCATGCACCCTACTTCACGATGGCACACCGAGAAGGATCGAGCTCTCCATCCTACGCTGAAGATCCGGCCGAAGGAGCAGAAGCGCCTCTTATGCCCGAAAGGTCTTCGTTCGCCGAGCCTGCCTCCGTACATCGGATAGAATCGGAAACACCCACCGCAACTCACGTGATCATCAGTCAAGGCTACGCACATCCGGATTACTCTCAGCTTCACAATCAGGCACTCCACCAGTTGCAGTCTTTCCACCAGGATTTCGCTCAACAACAAAGCCCCATTAATGGTCATTGGGTCCACCATCCGTACGCGCACTATCATCAACCCCCTCAGGAGATATACCAGCAAGCTCGGGATCCACGGGGTGAATCGAACGAGTCGGATGGTCAAAGCCCCGGAAGCCGAGCTCAATGAATGCTCGGGGAAAATGTGGAGGTTCTCTGTCTCTCCGGCAGATCATTCCACTCAACAACAGTTTTATCCGAAAGTGCTCCGATGCCTTCGGATGTGAGAAACGCTCCCTGTGTTCCCATCCCGTTTCCAATCGAAGATAGACATTGTGACTTTGTGGAAGGTTTTTTCTAGAGTTCAAGACTGTCTGTCCGCTTGAAGGCTGTCGATTGGGACCATGCATCTCGATTATTCGCTGGTCAATATAGCATAGCGAAATCTCAATTCGAGTTTGTATGCCATGGCGATTTCGAGGTAGAGCTCGCTTGCTTGTGTTGAGTAGCCAGAGCGGGCTCGAGGGACCACTGACGATGAATTCTCCATCGATCGTGGGAATATGTCACAGGAGAGGCTGTGTATTTTAGGTCTTTACGATTACGAAATCCGTGGTGATAGTTCCTCCGGTGGGAGCCACCACAAAGTGTACGAATGCAAAACTTTTAAATTACTGCTTAATAAATTATAAATTGCTTAGATCGAATCGACGGAGAGGAACCTGTCGTGCCAGGCGAACCGGATACTTCCAGATAGGAATGTCCGAGATAGGCGTACTCCCAAAAAATTCGGAGATTCCTTACGTCGCTCCGAAAGGTCTCTTGAAGACAGAACGGGAGTGCTGCATGAGGTTTTTCCAGTCCCTCCGGGCTTCTCTCTGGAGCAGAGCTGTGCGCCGCGCCGAGCATTGCAAGTCCCATAGATTCAATGCTCAAGCGCCGCGGCGCGCCATGGCGCTTAAGCGTTGAGTCTATGGCGCCGCGCGCCGCGTTTTGGAAACGGAGCACAGCTCTGCTCTGGAGCACCTGATCTCCGAACGGGGGGGGGGGGGAGGGCGGCTCCGGCCCCCGGTTGATGAGAATCTCTGGTCGAAGTAGGTCTGCCTGCCTACCCTCCCCGGACGAGGGAACACCCATGGGATTGCACGGAGAAAGGTGCTCAGACACTTCAGACTTTCATAGCAATTTCGGCAGCACGCCCAATACAGGAGTCGTCAGAGTTCCGTTCTGATGACAGCATATATTTTATTAGCGGGTCAACAGTTCTCGGCAAGAATCATCATTAGCTTAAATTAGATATTTGATTCTGTGACGGTTCGACTTCACTCTTTTCCTTCTGATAAGATATTCCGCTCCATTATGATACCAGAGCCCCAAAAGTTGTGAGAATTCTGGAACTTGACCCCTGTATAATCATCCATGTTTAGAATATAATCTTGATGATCCAAATAAGATGAGAGACCATCGTCAGGGAACCCCAGGGGGCTCCGAAAATATGACGGGGGAGTATTTTCCGCTTCTCTTCCTCGACCAGCTTCGACGATGATATACGCTAAAATATAATATGAATTCTTCCATTTCCGCACTGACAGCAATAGGCTCGATCGGAGCATATCATGAAGAAGCCTCTGTCGTTCCCTGTCGGCTTTGTTGTACGGTGAGGATGATGATGCGTTTGACAGCTTCAACCACTTTGTCCAGGGGAAAAACATCACTGAGCGCCGGTATGTGGATGAATAGCGACTTCTGGCATCGATTCAAGGCGAGGTAATATATGTACTCGCACAGGTACAAGCCGGCGTCGCGAGAGATGTAAACCGGAACTTCCGTCTTACAATTGCCGGCAATCTCCTCCAGGTCGAAGCAGGTTTTGAGGAATTCAGGTGCTTGTTCCACGCAGCAATTGTTGCATACAACGTCCCCATTAACATCGGCGACGTCGTACCCTGAAACACGAGGAGAGCGCATGAAACTGATCGAAGGACAGTTGGAATATTCCGAGACGCTCCGCTTGAGCATCGGAGTCTCGGGCATTAGTGGACTCCAGAGGATTATGTTCGCCGGTAAGGCTAGATCGGATGAGTACTAACCCGTGTTCCGAGCGACCTGTTCGAGTATGACAGCATTCGCTTCCGAATACATCCCGCAGTGTATCGTGACGCAAGGCTTGCACTGCTCATGGAGTTCCTGTGTACGTTTTTTGACTGAGTCATAGACCACCGGAAGGATTTCTGTGCGGAGATCGATTCCCTCGATTCCAGTGGCAGCGATTCTGTCAACAACCTTCGAGGAAAAAGTATTCTGTTTCAGTGAAGAGCGTTGCACTTGAACATGTTATGTAGTCAGGTTCCGCCAATGAGGAAAAATCCGAGAACCGGGAAGAATCTGGAATCGAACTTCGGCACAACCGCCGAAGAGAGCTACTCGGCGAAATTCTTGGGAACTCATTAGGCGGCTGCCGGCTAAATCCGAGGAACGAAGCGATACCCCATAAGCAGCGCAACCGGACCGAAAGCTAGCGAAGTTCGTTTCCTGCCTTGAGAATCCGGATCCCGGGCCCTGACCCCGGGGAGATGCCAGAGCTGATGGTGGTAGTGCTGATTCTCAGCCCCCTATCCGCCCACGACAGAAGGCTCTGCCAATAAAAAATTGCCCAGGCCTCATCCCCCTAGCCTGGGCAACCAGGCTGACCGATTCCTCGATAGTCAGTCAGAGTGAAGATTGGAGAACTCCTTCTATGACTCACCTCTTTGGAGGAATTTGAAGAGTATTCTCTGAACAAACCATATCCCGTCAGGAGCACGACGGGCCGATCCGACGATGATGAGGTCGACTCGTCTTGGGCAACGGGAGCCATTTTCCTCCAGATCAGACTGCTTCATGATGAACACCACAACAGAGAAAGAATTCAGACGATTAGCATCGAAAAAGTAGAGAGGAGTTCGTACATTGTTTATGAACGTGGTTCCAGATCGTCGGTGAATGACGCGGTGGATAATCACAAACTTAACCAACGTCGGATTATCCAATTGACCAGAGAGCAAACGACCGCGAATAATCTTGAACGACCCGATAAGGCATTCGACGAGCTGATCACGGCCATGGTGATCGAGAAAACAGCGATATCTGACACTTGTCTCCGGGTCAAGAATGGGAGAGCTCTCAGCTAGCTCGTAGGTCTCTTCTTTCGTAACGTAGATTCTCGATACACTCGTCATTCGGTCCCGATTGAGTCAATCGCGAGACAAGTGGCCGCGTCCGAATAAGTCTGAATTCGAAAATCAATCTCATCTCAGAGGCGATATTCCTGCGATTGCATAGCGGAGAACCCTTCTGACCCGAGGAATTCTCTGAAGTCTATTCTTCTCCGTCCTACCTCACTGAATCACTCGTCGCGAAATACTCGCAGCGAGCATGCATCGAAGAAGTCTCAGCCGCTGCTGAGAACTCTCAATTTAGACCACAGAGGCCCTACCGTGGGGAGGGGAAGGGGGAGGGGGCGGACCCCCAGGCGCCACTTCTCCGATCACTTTCACGAAAACGGGAGAGCCGAAAAATGGAATTAGAGGTCAAAATCCTCGGGATGAGCGCCGTTTCCGGCGGTGGCAAGCCGAAAAACGCATGTCCCCAGAAGTATTTCGACGGTGGAATGGATCGGGGAAATGGAGTTCCCGAGGAGGGGCGACATTTGCGAGATCCGCCCCGCGCGCTACTTTGCCGTGGTATGCCACTGCATGAGTGCCATACAGACCGCAACTGAATTTCCAGAACAGTTCATGCCGAGATTCTATGTCGCGTCTACAAGAAACTGGTCGGTGTCATCCTACGGTCTAGATCTTGTGGAATGAGAGAGATAAAGACACCACTGCCAAGCCGAGGAGAGCTCAGGGCATGTCGGAGCGCTCGTCGTAAATATAACGGAACGCAGTAGGAGGATCTCGATGATTTCTGGCGCGGCGCATTTGTCCCTACAAGCTATACGACGTAGGTAATCTGGGAAGAGGAGTCGTCTCATTGTCCGCGTTCTTCAGTAACTCGTCAATTAGCGCGTTGCCACGAATATTTCTTCGGGTGGATGCGGTCTTTGCCGGGACTTATGACGCTACGCCGGAAATCAAGAGTCTGCTCTTCATCGACGGATTCGCGGTAGGATGGTGCAGGTCGACCCGCACATCATGAGTTATCCCATAAATGAGGCAAGGAGAGGCGACAACGCTCAATGAGGCTCGAGTCGGAGTAATCCATGTCGAGAGGTTTCCAGATCACGATCGGCGCTATTCAGCTATCAGATGACGCCCGGAGGGTACTATTGAGACGTTTCCCGTAGATGGAAGGCTTCCAAGAAACTGAATGGAGCTGATAAGCCCACGACTGAAGAGTGACCTCCGTGGTCCGATTACGAGTTTTCCCACGTCGATACGTTCGCCGCGAATCGCATCAATTCCACCGTTTTCCACGCACATGCATCAGCTTCCTCTGTTGTCTCACGACAATTACGGGACGTCCGATGAGCCGAGGACCCCGGATTGACTGCAATGCTCTCTCGAGGTCCGAGTGATATTCTGAGATCACTCAATTCAACAGTCGATTTGGGTACTGAACACGGGCGGGGGAGCTCGGAGGAGGCCGAAGTTCCGGATTCGAACAGCTGATCTCGGGCATGTGATCAGGCCGAATCGAACACCGGAGCGTGCGCCTGAGCTTGCTCAAAGAGACAATTGCTCTCATTGGGAATCTTGTTTTAGAGTAAACTCACGATTGCGCTCTGCTTTCGGGATATTTCTTGACGGCAGCAACTTCACACTTTGAATACGGCTATGCCGCCGGGTGGTCACTCATCCACCCGTCCAACACTGTAAAGTCACACCAACGCTGCAACTAACGCTGTTTGGGTCGTTCATCAGTCGACACGCCGCTATGAACCTGGTGCGTGTGTCGGTTCGAGGAAGAGGCACCCGAATACGCAGCAGCGCTGCCCCTTTGTTCATCGCCGCCGTCAAAGAAAGGAAGCAATTCAATCGCGGGGGCTCCGGCGGCGTGGAAGGTGGCGTAGGTAGAGGGAGCAGGGAGCAAATTGTCGGGGCCTTCACGACCCTAGCTGGTCCATTGGATTGCAGGGGATCGGATTCATTCAGATCTCTCATATGTACATATGGACCCTTTCATTTTAGGGGTGGATTGTATTGCATTCACAAGTACATCACTCGAAGTACATCACTTTACTGATGGCCTCTCTGGACTCGAAAGAGCTCCAGCCGAGCTCACCGTCGAGGAACTCCTTCGCCAAGGTAGAGTGAGGTAATGCAAGAGCCCATCTCCCTGCATCTCTTTGTCGGACTTCGATATGATTTCTCAGTCTCTTTGGCATACTTGTTGCTGCGTTGCATCATGTGATTTGCGGGACTTCTGTGGCTTTCCAAAGTATTTTGGATTTTGGATCGCCTTATTTGCCTTTTCGCTCAGCTCCTCCCAATGTTTGGTCAAGTAGTCGTATTCGGCTGATAGTTCGATACCGAGGTATTTGTATGATTCTACGATCGAAACTCAGACGTTCCGTACTAGACTCGGCTTCACCTAACAAAAGAATATCGAGGGTATCATTATCTTGCGCCTATCAGGGAGCGGCTGGATTCAGCAGCGTACGTATGGGAGCCCGGGGCCATAACACCCCTCCGGGAAAAAAATTCTGGTTCCCATGATGGTAGCCTCGAAAACGGCCCCGACCACCGGTAGCGCTCCGCTGTGCCGGTACAAAGTCCAGGCCCTGAACCTAGCCTCTGGGTCGCGTCGGGATACCCGGTCGATTCTATAAGAAAGATCACGAATATACGGGAAGGGAAGAGTGCGAATACGATCCCTTTTATCGCTTCCCCAGTGCGCTCTTCATTGGCTGTGGATGATGGTTCCCGATGGCGCCTTACCCCTCACGCTCTAGGAAATCAACGCCGAGCAGCGCTAAGGCTGGGTAAAGCCTTCTGAAATCTCACTGCATTACTGTTTCATATCCAAGAAACGGTTCTTCCCGAAGGCACTAAGTTTCATGTTGTCAACTCGGAAAGTGTGCCAGGATTGGAGCTCCGAGAGTATAGTAGAAATGCCAGCTATCGGAGGTAGTCTTAGAGTACGGAAAATAATGAGGACAAAATCAGTTTCTTTGCGTCACCCTAGAAATGTCATCTAGGTTCATCGACTTGAAAATTCCCGTACTTTTTTATTCGCTTCCTCAATTCGACTATAAACTACAATTATTAGAAAATGTAATTACATGATGCATTAATAATTTAATAATATATTAAAAATATAAACACAATGCACATATTCGCTCAGCACGAGACTCGCCACAAAGCAGCGATCTGGCCGATCATTTTATCTGGCATCTTTGAAAACCAAAGGAAAGTATCCATGCTTATCATTCTCAAATCATTCCTCTTGTTGTTTTCTCCTCGTGTATTACTTCTGTAAACATCACCATTCGGTCAGACACACTAGAAAAAGCTAGATCCCGAACGAGGGGAATGCTCTACTGGTCGATGACACGCTTGAATCTCCCGATTCACTTGAGCTTTGGCTTCGGAAATGACTTTAGAAATGTTCCGGGAAAATCACCAGGCATAGCTCAGTTCATTCAATCCCCTCTTCCTCGTTCTCTCATCGAGTCATCTTATCATAGCATCTCTTCCCACAAGTCTCTCTCTTCTCCGAAGGCCTCCCCCAAGATTTGTGTTTCTAAAAGTCAGACTCAATACCGAGTCGCTTCTACGAGTTAGACCAATGGATGGCTCTCGTCGCCTGCCTCTGTAAGGAGAAAACCGGAGCATTAGATCAGGTCATCCGGGAAGGTCAGATGGGGGAACTCTGCATGACATCAGGATCGGGATCCCCGGGAATCCCCGGGAACGTTCCCGATCGGCGCTCAAGAAATCGAGAAGATCCAGAACTCACTTTGTGTGTTGACAGCCGTCTTCAGTTCATTATTCATCTGGGCTCGTAAAGCTTCCATGTTCTCGTAGAGGGGACTTGGCTTAGGGGGTGGCGGAGCACTGGGTCGTCGAATCGAATTGTTCGACGACTTAGTGCCTGGAAGTTCAAAAGAACGTTTGATGGTCAGCGATGGAGGACATTTCTCCCCTCGAATGACTCAACCGGCATTCAATGCGAGTCGGCGACGGCTCCAGGCTCAGGAGCTCGGAGCATGGAGAGCACTGAGACGGTAACTCACGTTTCAAATTGTTCGCCGTTGCGTTGTCTGCGTTTTGGACGTTTTGAGTGGGAGCACGCGCCTTGCCTGGCGGGGGTGGGGGTGCGGGTCTCGCCGGTCGTATTTGCGATTGATGTTCAACGTCTAAGTTCGTGGTTTCGACCATCTTGACAATGCCGTTCAATACGGGTTGTTGCACTTGATGATGATTTTGTGCTTGCGGCTGATTGATCGGTTGCACACTGCCTTTGTGAACCCCGTTGGTGGGAGGCGCTTTCGTGAAGACCGGCTTCGATATTTGCGATTTATCATACAAATTCAGCAGCGGGCCTTGACGTGCAGCGTGCTTCACGGCGAGCTTCCGACGACGGAGACGATACTTTGAGATGAGGTCTTTCTTCGAGAAGATCGTCCACGCAATGAAGAATAGGACTAGAGGTGTCACCCCGAGGAATACCACAGATAAAATGATGGTGACAGTGTACGTCTCTTCTGCAAGACAGGACACGATGCGTCGATAGAAGCTACTTAGACGGTTCCCATGGCTCCATGGGAGAATTCAGGAAAATGAATGAGACTTCACTGTATAACGAAACCCGGTTGACCATTTCTCGAGTTAGCTACGGAAACGAACCTTCGGGGTTAGTTGTGGGTCCGCTATCGACAGAGCCTCCCTTTCCGGGGAAGTTGCAGTATGGGGGCGCGTAGCCTGGATCACAGTGACAGTGGCCTAAATGATTGCAGATCCCGTGACCAAAACAGCTGTACTCGCACGGAGGAGACGCCAACTGGGCCAGCTCGACGCAGCGTGCACTCAAGCAGGCCTGGTTGACACCGCACGCCGCGCCGTCCGGAGCCTGGCCAGGGTCTGGATCCGTAGGGCCCAGGTCAACCATCGCAGATCTGTGGAGGAATTGAAACATTGAATAATTGAAACATACCTAATACCTAACTGATTCAATGCTGTCATTCGCCGATATTGTATTATATATCATGCAAAAACTTGATGTGAAACGCGACGATTGACTACACAATGAGTTATAGGCTATAACTTATAGCATATCCGTATGGAAACATGGATGCTCACCTGCAGGTGTGAGTTTCTTTCTCAGTTCTCAGGAAAAAGCGCGACAGTTTCGAAGCCGACAGCATTCCGTATTCGAGTCGTTCGGTCACATAGGTACAATGCAAAGTACCGCACATGATATCCCTGTCGAAGGAATATTTTCGTGAATTTCACTCGGGCAGATCAATTGACGCGAGCCTCGATAGTGTGGAATCGAGCAGAGGGACTGTTCGCTTCCGTCGTTAGGCCTGAGGAATACTCCTGTCGATTCCATGAGGTACTCACTTTTGTTTGCACTTCGCATAACCTTTGCGGATTTTATCGTATCCACAATTCCCGATCTGCGTCCCGTTGACATTAACGGAGAAACACGCACGATGTCCCACGTGGCCAGTCTGACCCCAGAGTTTCTTGCACTGCATGTTGTGACTGGCACAGGAACCCATGTAGCAGTACGCCTGAAGCCCAAGAGAAAGAATCGGCCGCTTAATCGACAGGATTCCTCATGGGTGCACACAAATCATCTACGTTCCAGAGCTATCCTAGAAATGTCAGGGCCGGCAATCTTTCGAACACTCACGTCTCCGTCCCCACACTTTTCGCCGTTCGCTTTGAAGACATTCCTCGGACAGAAGTGAGATTTGCCGTCGCAGTGCTCGGAGAGATCGCATTCCCCGTCTTGGTCTCGACACTTGACTCCGGCTCGTCTCGGCAGGCAGGTGGCCAGGTCGCAGCATTCTCCGTGCCCGCAGGTGGCGCCTTCATTTAGCTTGCATGTTTTTGGATTGCAGCATTTTGTGGTACAAAAGTTCTCTGGACCGCAATCGCATTCTTCACCGTCCTCGACGATTCCGTTTCCGCAAGAGGCACCGACAATCTTCGTGGGGACGTTGAGCAAACAGTGGTCCATGTGCTGCGAGAACGCTTCGTGTATGGCGTTCATTGAACACGAGGACCATGCTGTGGGGGGCACCATTGCGTTGCTGGCGGGAAACATGATGCAGCGGCTCTGGGGGCAGTGACAGCTACCCAAATCGTCGTGTTCCATGCCGAAGTTGTGGCCCAGCTCGTGAGCTATTGTTGCGGCCACAACTGCGACGGACTCGTGGTGGTCTTTGTTAACTCCGCCCGAATACTGGTACGTGCAGATGGGGCCTTTCAGAGCCTTGCCCACGACGTCCTTTTCGAAAGTAAGGTCCCTGTAAGAGAATTTCAGCCTGATTTGCGACGACTCCCCAATGATTGTCGTTCGTCTTTGTCGTTGGGGCGTCGACCTCTCCTCCAGCCATGGCTCATGTGGTAATTTGAGAAATCTCCGAGCATCCTCACGTCAGCTTGAGGGGCTTTCGTGGATGTACTCACGTGACCAGCTGAGCGTTGTCGTTGGGTATGCTCTTGGCCAGGACCTCCATGCGGTATCGGAGAAAATTGTCCAAAGTCTTCTCCGCGTTGATATCCACCTCGATTTCGTCTCGCTGTGACCACACGCGTACTCCGACCAAAACGACGAAAATGTTGAGTGGAGCATAGAGAGCGTTCACAATATTTGCTACCTGTGCAAGGGAAGATCCTAACCGTTATCCTCGATTGAGGTAAAGCGACATCCTCGATCTGCCAGAGGAAGTGAGCTTCTCTCTCAGCCTCCGACAATTCTTAGAGATCAGCTCTCTGATGAGATTGTATCTCTGCCCGATGAGAGTTCCAACGTTCCCGAAACTGACCTGCTTGCTTCGCTCGAAGAGTTTCTTTTCGTCCCGACCAAATTTAACAAATTGTCTATAATCGTGAACAATCACCATCTCAACGAAACGCGACGTAGCGTTCGTCGTAGATGGGGGATGTTTGACGGTGTTCAATTGGGCGGATCCTCTCCGTTGTCGCGACAAGATCGCATCTGTGCCATGGTCGAATCCTGAAAGGAAGGCCTGATAAGAATTCATTCATACCGGGCGTACGGGACACCGAGAGCGTGCGTGAGGCACCCAGCAGAACTCACCGCATTTGAGTTCTGGGATTTGGAGATCAGTATTCTTTGAGATGAGGGCCTGACTCCCATTGGAATGAAGGTAGAAGACATCGTCCCCATTCCAAATCACGCCCCTGGAAACGAGAGATTCTAAATCACAACGGAGCTGCTGCAACTGGGCGAATATGCACCCATGTCCGATGGGTTCGTTCGGAGCGGATGACGTTTGTTTGGAACAGAAAGAGTAGCAGGCATCCATTTTGGACGACAAGCGTCTTTGTTCCGATTTACGAAGAATGCGACGCATTCCCCTCGCACAGACCTTGGAAACATCAAAACTTTGTCAGAACGACGGGCTGCATTTCCCCGCGGGACGCTATGTGAACATAAAAAAGTAGAGCTTTCGATGTCCGCGCTGAAGAAATTGTATTCGTCGGGCCGAGACACTGCGTTGATTTTTAGAGCCCTCACATTCTCTTGAGAAACTTAGATGTGACAAAAAATCGCCCCGACTCATGGTCAGCGCCAGGAGTAACAAGTCGCAAGCTGTGCTTTTATAGGTGTTTTCCTTCATGGAGTAGATCGATCATTAAACTCACCCTATGCCCGGTGGACAGGTGCTGAGAGCAACCCTCGAACCAGGTGCACCGTCGAGGTGCCCATTCCAATGGCAGCCTTCCGAACCCTGAAATCGAAATGTCCAAGATGAGAGGAAGTCCGCGCATTGCGGACGGTCAACACCCGAACGTCAGAAGCGCGGGAGAATTCTCCGCAGAGCGGCGACTGTGCGTGAACCGCTCCAGTGCATTCTCCTCGGTATGCCTCGGAAACCAGCGGGTGACAAGCGATTTTTGACGATCGACTCCTTTCAGTTTTCGTTTTGTCCGAGATCCGAACAGTGCTGTCGGAGCTTTTCGGCGACAAATCCTCTCCGTCGTCCCCGTAGCGTTTTCCCATCCATCGTTTGAAGCATTGTGTCGGCCGGGAGCATATTTTTATGCTCACTGTTGAAGGTCTGCTTCTTTCGGGAAGAAAAGCCCTCTTTCTTCCAAGCCGGAACGGTGCTTTCGACAGCTAAATCGTCGATGTTCTCGAGTCGAATGCTTGAGTCATACTTAGGGGAACGGATCCGAATCAGAATATTTTCCGTACCGGACAAGAAACCCGACGCATTTCGGCGACTTATTTCTTTCCACGCTGTCCGCGTGCTTGCCATCTTATATCCAGCTTCCATTCTAAGACATCTAAAACAATCTTCTGCCATGCGTCAAGTGTGTCGTCGATGTGGCCTCCACGATAAACACAGAATATCTCGTGGAAGTTGAGCGACGATTCCTCGGCGTCGATGATGACAGATATCCTCATTTCAGGAATCCAGCGCTAGGAAGGAGCCGAACAGAAATAAAACTCGGATATTGCCCTAGCTGAGATATGGATAGCATCGCTTTTGGCACGAGATTAATCATTGTTGCTCCCGCAGCACGGTTTGAGTCCGGTCCCTGGAACGGTTTCGAATGGAATTCCCGGAAGCGATCCACGGGTCACTGCGATGGATTCTCGTAAGACGAACGATTCGGAAGACAACGCCAAAAACGTTCGCGGTACTTCGCATTGAACGAAAATCCAGGGTTCCTCACTGAATCTGCCAGCTCAGAGTTCACGAAAACTTTGAGCCCTTTAAGCGAGCGACATATCGGTAATTTCCGTGAAAAGGCTCTTTGGTGTCATCCCAGTTCCCAATCCACAGCCGATAGGGAGGTTCCCTTACCGCAGCTACATGTGAGGAGGAATTTCAAGCAAGCACGTCGCTCGCTCATGAGGGAACGATCATTTTCGTCCTCCCGAGCTTCGGTTTCAAGGCTTCCGCACGTAGCTCCTTGGAGTCTCTCGGAGGAAAATCTGTTCCCGCACCTGCTTAATCTTATACAAAGTACAGGCGCAAACAAGATTCTCGAGTCTCTCATCAGCGACTCCCACCATGCAGCAACAGCGGCAGCGGAGTTCGTCTGCATGCTTCAATTTTCGGGGAAGCTAATGTTAGATTCCCGGCAAGGTCACTCGCCTCCGGCTCGCTCCGCGTTCCACGAAGGCTCGTCGACGACGACGGAGAAAAGTCAGAGGCGACATCGCGGAAACGCGAGAGCATCGCAGCGACGACGCACTCGACACGAAAAAGGCTTAGAGAGCACGATAATGCGGTCCCGACTCTGCGGTGGGAAGCTCAGACCCCGTCGCGGCACAGAGTGAGGGGGGCACGCATTCAGGGCGAGGAATCTTTAAATTACAGTCGTTTCCCCTTGCCTTCCATGCGACCCGCAGTTATGGACTCGGGCATGGGGGAAACGGACGAGCGCGTGCACCCGCAGACACGGCGACGAGCTAGGCGTCGCATCGGCGTAATCAAGGTAAGGTCAAGGGGGGATCATCCGCGTTACGTCGCCTGATGGCAAAAGCGGCGCCGACTGCGGAGTGAGAATGACCTCATGAAGGAATGCCTAGTTTCCTTTTCGGGCCTCACCATTGACCGCCCGCCTCTTTATTTTTTCGGCCCCAGGAGGCGCGCAAAAGCTCTTGCGTCGGCTTTGCAAACAGACAGAGGCAAAGCGTCGTAGGCGACTATCGGCCAATGGGCCACCGGTGATCCCTGAGCTGTATCGTTCGCGGCTCGGGAGACGATCCCTTGCCTCAACAGGTGACCCTGTGACTCACAGAGCGAACGGGTGGATGGACAGTCGGTCGCTTGAATTGGCGGCTGTTCGGTTCTCCGGAGGATCAATGAAGCAATACTTGAGAATAACAATGCCTCTTTTCGCTGCGTTGGCACTACTGTGATAGTGTTTGCCCTAGACGCGTTGGCCACGGCTTCTCGACGAAGGTACACGACTGTACCCATTTCAGTCGTCGCACCTTGTCTTATGCCAATCAAAAAATCGTTATTACGTCGCGAGTACGCGCAGGAGGATAGAAACGGAAGAATTCCGGAGTGAGCACGATGAATTCCCCTCCCATTCCTCTTGCTCCCGAGAGAGAGACCTCTTGCCGCATTGCCTTCGCCTCAAGCAACGTACACATATATTAATGTTCCCGCGCGTTGCATTCTTTCCCCGTCTCTCTGGAGAAACCGCGCGTCTCCGTAGCAGGGCGTACGCGCTAAACGAATGTTTTTGACATCGGAACGTTTCGCTCGACCTGGGGCGATTCCTCGAGGGCGAGTCCCCGGTTGATTCGGACAGCAACGTTCCATTTGCCTTTGATATCGTCAAACGGAGGGAACCGAATCCGTTTCGGATCCATCCCCATTGGCCCATTGGAAGGGAAAGAGCCGGCGGGCGTCTCATGTGAGTGGCGTCGCGAATGGCTCGGTAGTTCGGTAGAGTCCGTACAGATAAACTTATTCGAGACGCAGAATATGGTAGGCTCTCGCGACGCGACGGTTGCAGGCCGTCCGCTTTTGCGTACTCTATGCAGACACGGAGGGGGAGGAGAGTTTTCGCTTGTTAATATGCTTGCTTTTGTTCCTATTTAATCTCCGACGACGGATTCCCCGCTCCCCATCGTGGCCATTGTGCTCTGTACCGCGTGCCTCCCACTCCTCCCACATGGGCTGCGTCAATTAATAGTTCGTCCCCTCCTCTCCGGTTTCTGGATCGAACACTTTTATGCTTTGTATTCTGCCGCCTGATACGCTCGAAATCGCCACACGAATGGGTCTGGTTGATCGAGAGTTGACCGCGGGCGAGTGAATCAGAATCCAGAGCGGCTCGCGAGAGTTTTCGGCAGCGGGGTCATCCTCGTCATCGAGATAAGAACTCCCTCGAAAGCCTTGTCGATGATCTGCAGCGCGAAGATCGATACCAAGGGGCGAGAAGACCCTTGCAGCTCGACGCAGAAGTGGATGAGAAGTTCCGAGAAGAGAAGAGAGTCTCAGAGAGCGTCCTCCAACGAGACGGGAGAATTTCCGGGAAAATATTCCACCGACAACGCTGGAAGACCAGACATTATTTTTCTCTCGCATGTCGTAGACCGGGAACCCACGGAGCCTATTTGCGGATAGCGAACAAAGAACGGGATATTTGTGTGATCGATCATCTACTTAGGCGCGAGGTCAGAGCACCAGAGAATCAGGCGATCAAACGCCCGTAGGATGTAAGCCTCGGTCGTGGCCCGATGGTGAGGCTGTTCCGAGCGCGTTTCCAAAGAATGCGAGGACTCGTTCGCGGAATCACTCAGGCGCTCGTCTATCGAATGCGTGTTCCTGGCACGTTCTAATTTCGGGAAGCCGGCAGATCGAAGCTGTTGACACTAGCACGACGTGAAGTGTCAGGGTCCTCTGCGCGCTCCAACGGGCCCCACTGAAGAGCACACAGCCGATACCAGCCCACGCCTTTTAAGGGCGACAATAAAAACTGCCTTCGGCGGGTACTTCCGTTTATGGAGCGACAGCGGGTATGCGCTACACACTCTGAACTCTCAAAACTCTAAACACATACATTGGATCAAGCGGACTTGGCACTCGGCTGACACTTTTCTACGCGGAAGTTCAGCCACGCAGAGACTTTCATCAGAGTGAGGGTCGTGCGCTGCCGCGTGAAGTCGCATGAGATGCCTGCGGTCGCTTGTTCTCTGTAGACTTTGGGACATACGTTCTGAGGCTCATTATGAGCCCGTCGATCGAGTGAGTTGTTAGACAGGCCGATTTTGCTGACCCTTCCACGATATTCACCTGGCCGCGGAGAATGAGCTTCGTTTCCGCCTTCGAAGGCGCCGAAAATGATTGGAGTCTCGTTCCCTTGGATCGAGTCGCAAGACCCATGATCTCAGACAGACGGCGAGAGGCGGTATCCTGCAGACCAG